AAGAGCACTTCTCTAAGCGAATCCTGAATCCATAGTCGGCTATCCTTGCAAAAACAGCTATTAAATTCGCCATATGTTCTTCTTCGGTTTTTCCACAGACCAGTATGTCGTCCAGGTAGGTTGCTACACCTTGCAAACCGCTCACCATCTTATTCATTATCTGTTGGAAGATTCCTGGTGCTGTCTTTATGCCAAAAGGCAACCTATTGTACTGGTACAAGCCTCTATGTGTGTTGATCTCAACCAATTTCTTCGTTTCTTCTGATAACTCCACTTGCAAATAGGCGTCCGACAAATCTATCTGCGAAAACACCGTGCCTCCATTGAGGGATGCGAATATATCCTCCGGCAATGGCAACGGGTAATCATACGACTCCAGCGCTTTGTTGAGTCCAGTTAAGAAGTCGGCACACACTCTCAACTTTCCATTCGCCTTCCTGACGCATACGATCGGAGCTGCCCACTCACTGTGCGTCACTGGACTTATGATAGTTCCAGTAGTCTATTCAACTCCTTTTCGACGGCTTCGAGCGCAGCATGGGGGACAGGCCTACAAGCCTTGAACACTGGACGAACGTTTTCGTCAGTTCTCAGGCGCGCTTTCTCCTTTGTGCAAAGTCCTAGACCTTCTTCGCAGACTTCTGGGTAGGTTTTCTTTAGCTTCGTAGCGATGTCGCTGGTTTGCTCTGCCTTCACTTCGGCAACCATTCTGCTTAAGTCATAGGACATATCTTCGTTTTTCTGGATCCACTCTAATCCTAGCAGTGAGTTGTGGGGCGTCACGTATGCGTAGCCTTCGCTTCTGGATCCTTTGATTTCGTACTCACACCATAGCTTTTCATGGACTTTCATGGAGCCTCCATTAGTATTCTTGACGATCACGCTTGTTTTTTTCAACTGTGGAGTGCCCATGCTTCTCCAAACCGCTTCGTTTAGCAAGGTGATATCTGATCCTGTGTCCAGCAGAAAACTAACTGAATGGCTATTTACTTTCGCTTCCACATATACGCGAGTTGAATTCACTTCCATCATCGCGTTCGCAATCTTCGCTACGCTGTGCACATGACGTTTCGGTTTCGTCCAACTTCTGTTCGTACTGGTGTCGCTGCTTCTGTGGATTCTTCGTTTCGAACCTTGCTGAACAAGTGCTTTTCTCTCCGCCACTTCTTCGCAAAACTTCTCCTTGTGACCCGTCTTCTTGCATTTTTTGCAAAACCACTGCTTCGCTTTGCATTCCCTAGCAAAGTGGGCTTTACCACAGTTCCAGCACTCCAGCTTCTTGAGTTCTTCCTTGCTTGTTGCTTCGACAATCTTCGCGCAACCAGCTACAGTCTCGCTATCCTTCTTGAGACTGAGGAAGTTTTCGCACTCTAGGTACAACTCCTGTAGCGACATCTTTCGTCCAGCCTTGTACTCCTTGTCCAGTACGGCTATGAGTCGCTGTCTGATTCCGGCTTCTTTTGGCTCTTCAGGCCAAAAATCCATAGTAAGCATTTTATGCCATCGCTGTCCAAGTCATGGATCTTCGCTTTTTCGCACAATTCGTTCACTCGACCGGTGTACAGGAGGTAATCTTCGGAATCTGCCTTCTCCAGTTTCAGACACTGGTACCGCATAGTGAATTCCGAAATCTTCACGTCGAACAGCTGCATTAATGTTTCGACGATTTCTTCGAAATTAATCGAGGTTACCTCCTTTGGTAACACATGCCTCTGGTATTTTTCGAAACTGTCCTTGTCCAATTTTTCGCAGAGCAGCCTCACCCTGGCACTCTCTGTGAGCTGCTTCGCATCTTCGACGAAGACTTCTTTGTAGCGCGCGTACCATTTGCTGAAACATTCGTCCGCTTCTGGGTCGAAGTTGAACTTTTCGATCCGATTGCTTAGTGCGGACATCATGTTCGGAATCTCCGTCGAACTGTTCTGGTTCGTACCTCCGATGTGTTTCAGGAACATCTCCATCATCTCCTTCCTTTCTTCTTTAATCATCTCCTTGAAGACCATCATCATCTCCTGGACGTCCACTTTCCCCATGTCGATCGATGAATTCGTTAAGCTCTTCTCAGCTTCTTCGTCGACTTCTTCCTGGCGCGTGTTTCTTCGTTACGGCTACTTCTTCGCTAGTAGCCGCTATCCTGATCGCCACTGATGTGTCCTCCGCGTCGGACACGTCGACTCTTCGTCTTGAGGTAACACACGAGGAACAAAGAATATTTATCAGAAAATAATAGAACAGTTAAAGATACGAGAGGCAGATGAGTGAACAGACGAACTGACAATGGCTAACAGCGAGCGCCTTTTATAGCGCTCATTTTCTGCGCATTGAGTCGCAGGCGCCTCAGCGAGGGCAGATCATACGAGAAAACAACTGATCAAACATTAACACAACACTCCTTTTAAAGACATCTTAGCTGCTTGCTAATGATCATCTGTTGCATAGATAGGAGCGACAGGAGGAAATTAGTCACGAATTTTCTGTGTAGGATCATAAAAAATCGGAAACTTGCAACAAAAATCGGAGCAGTCAGTATTGTAAGTTCTTTTACCAGCTCTTTCTAACAGTGCAAAGTTTGCGCTGATGGAAAGTTATGATTTTCGAGCAAGCAATACAAAAGGGCGAATCTGATATATTTTGGCATTTTTCAGGAAAATCGTAACTTTTCATAGAAACGCTCAATCACCGCAAGCTTTGTATTGTTAGAAAGAGCAGGTAAAAGAACCTACAATACTGACTGCTCCGATTTTTGTTGCAAGTCTCCGGTTTTTCATGACCCTACACAGAAAATTCAAATTTTGACCAATTTTCTTCTATCGCTCTTACCTATGCAACGGATGACCATTAGCAAGAGGCTAAGATGTTATTGGTAAGAGCATGACTTACTCTTTCGTAAAAGAATAAAAGCAGTCAAATCGGTTGAAAAAAAGAAGTTATGAATTTTTGAATTTGGTGCTAAGGAACTTTTGGTTCAACTAATATTATATAAGGGTTGAATCCGGATGATTGCAGGAAACTCAAGCCAGAATTGAGTTTTGGGATACGATTCTCAAGAGCTAATCCGCTAACACACTCCTACACTCCTACCTCTTGGGAAAAATGGATCGCTTTGAATTTCCGTCGCGCGTGCTTATCGTAAAAGCTGAAACAGTTTTCGAAAGAAATGAGAGCGTCACTGGATCGCTGATCCTCTAGCGATTTAGAAAGTTTGTTAAAATTTCGAGATCGATTATATTTTAGCTGTCGGGACGTATTTGTCGCGACAAAATCGTCGTACTGAACTAAGTTGCTTGAACATAAGTTCCATGGACTCGCGAGTACATTTTTAGAATCCTTCCAAGTTTTTGACAGTGTAATTGTATATAGTGGTGTTTGGAAAACGGATGAATGACTGCAAAATAAATGACTGCCATCTACCATGACATAAGATGAAGATAGAGAGCATCCCATGGCTAATAAGACAAATGCGACAGTCAGTCATGCAATGAAATAGAAATCTGCGCTGGATTGGCCGGGATTAGCTACAAAGGCCAAACACGACTGCACAACAAAAGCTGCATATGTTTTGAAACATGTAGGGGCGATTTTCTTATTGAGTAGTGATATACCCAAAGCTGAGATGTGGTGATAAGGCAAGTTAGGGTCAAAAAAGTATTCGTTGAGCTCTGTGCCGTAATTTTCCTCGGAAGGAGAATTTTGATTCTGCACTCAACCTGTCCACGAAAGGATAAGTTTTCAGAGCCTTCATTTACGTTTGCTTTCTCAAATACTAGAATATTGTTTGTCCACTGGAAATGGTCTGTAACGCAAATATTACCAACACGTTGACATTATGAGATCAAACAAAACCCTCGCCCTTCCAAAATAATCGTATTTTCCTGCTTCGATCAGGATACAAACAAATATAGCTGCAGACAATAGCAAAGTGATTCATTTCAGCTACTACTTTGTTAATAACAACCGTGAAACCATTTATTTGGAAAAACATATATTTTTTTAATATAAATAAATTGTTCAATAAACATGCAAAACTTCAAAGAATAGTGTAAAATTAGTGGATACATGCAAAAAAGGACCTGCCCATAAAACCAACTGATTGTTTCCACCGGTAATCGAAGTCGTAATCACGTCTGTGAATAACAGAACCGAAATGCTGGCGCATTCTGCAGTTTCGCGAAATAATTCGGGAAGAATTCAGAAGGAGAAATTCGGGCCCATCATCAAATGCCAGATGTTTACTGCACTGGCAAATGCCGCATCATTTACAGTATTTTTGCATATGGAGTAGTTAAAATTCCAAATCATCATTCCCCATAAATTTACAGGCAGACCAGCAAAATCTCTTCTCTTCTCAAGCGTGCGGCGATTTGGCGCCAACGATTGTTTGCTAACAGCAAAGTTATTTGTTCAGCTTTGCACCTCGGCCAAGAATGTTTTTCGAT